GCTGGGGGGCGCGGGGTGGGGGGTGGGGGGGGGGGGGCGCTCTCCCCTGGCAGCCTCAGTGTCCCAGGGTGACACCAGCGCAGAATGGTGCCTTTTCCCCAGGCAAGGGGCCTGCCCCATCAGACATCCCACGCCGTAGAGCTGCCCCTTCCCGCCCCGGTCCGGGTGGGTAGCAACTCTCTGCCTCCCGAGACCCTCCAAGCTGTTACCCGCAAGCCCAACCCTCCTCCAGAAGTGGCTGAGCAATCTCTGCATCAGCAGCTGCCATGTCCCACCCCAGAGGTGGCTGCATTTCAGGGGCAGGTGAGCCGTCCTCGTATAAACAGTTACCACGTCCCTTCCCACTCCAGAGGTGGCTGCTTTTCAGCACTGGCTGAACGATCTCCGTATTGCCAGCAGCCACTCCCCACCCCAGAGGTGGCTGCATCTTTGGGACGTGGGCCATTAATCTCCCAGCCCTCCGCCCCATGTTGCGCCTCTTCTCCAGCTCTTTAACTCCCCTCCCCTCGCCTCTCACCTCGGAACCGCTTCAGCTCATCTCTAGCCAGCCGCACGGCCAGAGCCAGCCCGATCCCGGAAGAGCAGCCCGTCAGCAGCACATTCCTGCAGGACATCCCGTCTGGCTGGCTGGCTGTCCGAGCAAGAGAAATCAGGGGGGAGGCAAAGGGGGGTCTAGTGGTTAGAGCAGGACTGCTGGGTTCTGTTCCCAGCTCTGGGAAGGGAGCAGGGCCTAGCAGTTAGGGGAGGGAGGGGAGAAAGAACTGGGGATGAGGACAGGGGTTCTTGCTGCAGCTCTGGGAAGGGAGTAGGGCCTAGTGGTTGGGGGGGAGGGGAAGGGCAGCATTGGGCATCAACTCCTGGGTTCAATTTCCCAGCTGGGGGGGTGGGAAGCAGGGTTTAGCAGAGGGGGGAGTGAGGCATCAAACACTGATCTACTCTGCCGTGCCAGTCTCCCCCCCCGCCAGCCTGTGAGCTCAGCTTGTCCTAGGAGAGGATTTCCACCATGCTGGCGCCAGCCCCTCCCCCTCCCGCAGGACAACACACTGCTCTGCTCTGGCCTCGTATTCCCGCAGCCGGCGCCGGCTCTGCCCCTGGACCCGCCCGTAACCAACCGGCCCAGCCCCTGGTGCAGACACAGCCCGGGCAGCCCTGGGGCCTCTCGCGCTGCCGGAACCCCCCGGCCCTTGATGGGGGCTGCATCCACACGCCACCCCGCGGAGGCCCATGCAGCCAGGCCAGCCCTGGCAGGAAGGGCAGCGGTTCTACATCCCAGCTCAGCCCCTGGGACAAGCTCCCCCTCCCTGCTCCGGTCTATTTAAGCCGCAAGGTCTTTGGAGCAGGGGACCGGCTCTCCCCCAGCACCACGGGCCCCCTGATCTCAGAGGGGTGTCCCTGGGAGCTACCATAACACCCCTAATAACTCGGCCAGCTGGCAAGACTCCGCAGCTCCTTTAGCCAGGCCAGACGCAACAGGAGGGAGCCCGAGGGCTGTGCCAAGGCAGTCGGCAATTAATAATTAACGGGCCACAGCTCCTCATGGCAATCGCTGACCCAGATCTCAGCTAGATCCATGCCAGGGATCTCTCCTGACCCAGTTCTGACCCAGCGACGCTGCTCCTCCGGGCGGGGGATTACGGCCAGTCAAAGGGCCGGAGCTGGGCCATCGTGGCCTTGCGCCCTGCTGGGGACCAAAAGGCCATCCTGCCATCTCCCGCGGGCATCTGGGAATCCCCCCAGCAGGATCCCAGGAGCAGAGAGCTGACCACGCGGGAACAATTCAGATGGGCCAGGCCAGCAAGGAGGAGGTTCTGCTCCTGGGTGATTCCTGTTTAATTGGGCTCCGGCGTCACGGACATAGATCTCGACCGAGGCGCCGAAAGCTCTTTCCAAAGGGAGCCATCCTGCCATCTCCCGCGGGCATCTGGGAATCCCCCCAGCAGGATCCCAGGAGCAGAGAGCTGACCACGCGGGAACAATTCAGATGGGCCAGGCCAGCAAGGAGGAGGTTCTGCTCCTGGGTGATTCCTGTTTAATTGGGCTCCGGCGTCACGGACATAGATCTCGACCGAGGCGCCGAAAGCTCTTTCCAAAGGGAGCGCGCCCAAGGCAAGTTCACAGCGGACTCCCTGGGGGGGGGGGGGCGAC